GGGGCAAGGAACTCCACTCTGCTCCTCCCTCCCTCCCCCCCCATCCTGCCCCTTGTGACCACAGAGCAGAGACGGAGTCTCCACCAGGGAAAGGATCACAAGGACACCGAGCATTTTTAATTTACAAAGCAGTGAGGTGGTTTTCATCTCTGCGATACTGCCTGTGACACTGGCAGGGAAGGACTGGAGTCGCCAAGCCATTCCCATTCTCGGAGCGGGAAGGCGAGGCTCAGAGAGGGTAAGGAACTCGTCCAAGGTCACACAGCATCGTTGGGCTCTTTCACAGACTGTTCCTTGCCTAGGGTCACCCTCACATAGCACCAGCCTGCCTAGCCGGGTGGCCCCTCCACGTGCCACCTGACCAGCGTTTCCTGGGAGTCGTCTCCCTGTTCTTGTACGTGAATAAGCGTAAGAGCTCCCGCGTGCGCCCCTGCTCCACCTTTTATCATTTTTCTCCTTCGCTTTCCGCTCCCATCCACAGCTGAGCTGGAGAACAGGCTCCAGGAGAAGGTGGAAGCTACTTTTTATGATCCCTCTTTTTAGAAGCCTGCTGAAATGGTTCAGCTTTTTATTAGCTCCTTAATTGCCTCCCTGGCTGCTGCTGGCACCTCCCTGCCCCCTCCACCAGGAAGGCCCGGATCTCTGCCAGCCTTGTCCTGGCTTCCAGCTGCACAAGGTCATTTTTCACTTAAGGGAGCGTCCTCTTCCAGGGAGGCCTCGGGCTGGGGAGCGGTTGGGGCCCCTTCTTGTTTCTTCAAGGGGCTTCCCATGGCGGGGACTGCAGGTGGACAGAAGTTGGGGCCTGCCCCGTCTGATCCCCCAAAGCAGAGATGGGGGTTTGCTGCTTTGGGGCCTCTGTGGGTAAGCTGCCGAGTCTAGAGCCTGGACTCTGGAGCACACGGGGGGTCCTGCGGGCACATACGACCAGCCTGGTCTCTAAGCTGTATCCTGTGGTCTTCCTCCGGCCATGGCAGGACAACAGTGCCCGCCAGAGAGCGGGAAACTGGGGGAGGAGTGGAGGAAGAGGGTTCTATGTACCTGGACAATGGGTTCCTGTTCACTGCGACAGGAGAGTGGTCCTGTCCGCGTTCGGGCTGGGCATGCATACCTGTGTTTAGCTTCTCGATCGGGAATCCCTTCACGGACAGTGACCGCATTTCACGGAGACTCTGGGGACCCTGAAGCCCCATGCACTTTTCTATTCCAGGACTGGCAGACCTAAGGGCACTAAACCTGACCCTGCCACTGACTAGCTGTGTGACCGGGGGCCATTGGTGTCGCTTCCCTGAGAACTGGGTCCTCATCTGCAGAAGGGGATTGAAGGAGCCTCCACCCGAGACGATTATCTGGAGAGGTGGCATGAGCGGCACATCTGTGCACCTGTGTATGGTGGCCCGGCCCTGCTGGGGACCGTTGCCCTTCTGGCCCCTCCCTGTCTGCTGGGCCATACCTGCCATCGGATCAGCACGGAGGTGGTGGTGTGGGGTGTCACCGAGACAATGGTGGGAGCCTCATCGGGGGCTGGGGAGAGAGACAGACAAGTGAGCTCTGGGGGCTGGAGGTTTAGGTCCCCCGGGAGGCCACAGGGACCAGATTCTTCTGCACGTGTGGAGGGAGAGGGGCTGGAGGCCTGACCCCAGTCTGAACCCAAGAGCCCAGAGGCCCCTCCTCTTTGTCCCTGGAGCCACAGGCTCCTTACACGGCTGTCACTGAGGCCTCCCCCAAACCCCCTCCTTCACTGGGTTTCCGGGGTCGGCCATGAGCTTGGGGACATCCGAGAAGGAAAACGTTAGGATGCCTGTTGGCATGGGTGCCTGAGCCCGTGGCAAAGGTCCCTCTGGCTCAAACCTCCCTGGGACTCTGTCCAGGGAGCCAGACAAAGGGCCTCCCATCTTGGAGGCCCCTCCCCTCGGAAGGGAACACCAGTGCCCAGGAAGGGCCAGTGTGCCAAGAGAAAGAGATCCGAGTGGGGGGCACTGACCGGCCTGCAGAGTGGTCAGCGGCTCCGACTCCTCGCTGAACTCGCTGTCCCCAATGTCATTGGTCGCCTTCACTCGGAACTTGTAGGATGTGAAGGGCTTGAGTCTATGGGGGCAATCAGGTTCAGTGAACAGAGGTATCCCCTAATGCCTCACCCCACCATCCCTGAATGGGGAAAGGGGGCCAGAGGGTGCTGATCCGTTACACAGACGGGAACATCGAGGCTCCAAGAGAAGGTCTGCTACAGCAGACGAGCAGGGCCCAGGGGTTCCGATCCCAGCCTGGGTGTGGTCTTACCGGCAGCCCCGCTTCTAAGTCATAGGTCCCTGGGGGGCTCTGTCCTCACATCGCCTACCTCATAGGCATCAAGCCGCCATGAGAGCACTGATAACCCTCCCAGCAAACTCCTCCCATGAGAAATGCCATCTCTTTCTAGAATTTAGTAAATTTAGGAAGGGTCAGGGGTCTCAAGAGTTAATCAGCGCTTCATCTCAATAAGCCCCGTTCCTCTTCCAGGCAAACGTCTTCCTTTTTGATCTACTGGGGGCGGGGAGTGAGGAGGAAAGTCTTGCTCAAAACTCTTGGTCACGTCAACCGGAATATAAAAAATACGACCTGCTGGGAATTAAACTGAAGCCGGAAGTTCGGAGCAAGCTCCACTCCCCTATTACAGACGGAGAGGGAAATGCGGTCTGGCGGGTAGGAGTCGGTAATGAAGGCTGGCAAGCGCCTGGCTAAGGGGGCTTCCAGGCTCCAGAAATAGATAATTAAGAGGCAGCCCTAACAGGGCTCCAGAGAGCAGGGAGGGAGGTTAGGACGGAGCTGGAGGCGGAATCCTGGGAGGTGCAGGCTGTGGGAGACATCTGGGGGTGGGCAGGCTCCAGGCGTGCTCAGGACCCCCTCCCCCCCTGCCCCCCCCCACCCCCCAGGAACCACCCCGGTGCTGTCTGGGTGGGAAGGGCTGGAGCAGAGACGCTGGAGGACCCGGGCCTCACCTGTCCACCACGAAAGCAGAGGCGTTGTGGCTCACGGAGGCTGAGTGCAACGCCCACCTGCCACTGGGCAGCTCGCGGGTCTGGACAGTGTAATAGCGCACAGGGGACAGCCCGTCGCTTCCCGGCTCCCAGGACAGCAGCACGCTGCGGGCCTTCACGTCCTCCTGCTGTACCACCGGCTTACTGGGGGGCTGTGGGCGGTCTGGGAGTCGGCGGAGGAGGGTAGGAGCAGGTGAGTCAGCAGGAGGGGGTAGGGGGGGTGAGCTCTCCCAGGGAAGGGAAGGAGGTGCTCTGGGCTCAGGCCTGATGGCCACTGCTCTACCCCTCTCCATATGCACACAGGTCCCAACAGCCGGCACCCTGGCTCCTGGCCCATGACCTGTCCTCAGGCCGCGAGAGGCCTGGGTGCCTGGGAATTCACATCCCCTGAGGGCAGCCTGGTAAGCGAGGAGGTACGAACACCCAGCTCCTGTGCTCCCCGCCCGCCCAGAGCTGAGATGGGGCCTGCGCTGGCCCCGGTTGATGGGACCGAGCTGCCTGGGTGGGGCTCTGCTGTCGGCCCTGCCCCAGCTCGGCTTTCTTCTCACTGCCCAGGACCTCCTGCAGCAGTCCTCAGCCTCAGCACTCTGGCATTTGAGGCCGATGGTTCTGGGGCCTGGAGCCGTCCCATGGACTGTAGATGCCAGTCACAGCTCCCTGTTAGGTGTGACAGTGTCTCCAGACATTGCCAACGTTCCCAGGGGGGCAAAGCAGTCCCCTGTTGAGACCCACTGTCCTACTGGTTTTTCCTGGGGACACGGTCTAATGAACCACTTTCACAGGAATCTGGGTCCCAGCCTGCTTCAGGGAAACCCGACCTCAGGCGAGGCACCAGCTCAGGGCCGCAGGCCGATGAGCCCCTCCTCCCCCCAACTGGACACCACCATCTTTGTTGCGGGGAGGGGAGAGGGGAAGGAAGCTGGTCTCACCAACCCTCCCTCTGCTGAGGCAGAGCGTGAGCCTTGGAAGCCCGGACATCAGAGATTTGAGCCCACTTTCCACTCCAGGTGAGGGCAACGTGGCTCTTAACTAGCTGATCCCCAGCCGCCCGCCAGGACAGGATGGGAACGCCTGGGTTGGCTGGGACTCCCCCTTGGCTGCCCCCAGGCCGCCCCAGCCCCAGTGGGCAGTCACCTCTCTTCTCAGTGGTCACCACCAAGGCCTCGGCGGCCTCCCCCCAGCCCTTGCGGGTCTGGGCAGTGATGCGGAACAGGTAGACGGACTCTGGCTTGAGGCCGGTGGCCGTGTACTGGCGGGCGCTGGGCGCGAGCACCTCCACTGTGGCCGTGTTGGCCGTGGTGGCGTTGAGCCGGTGTGTCACCTGGTAAGCTGCAGGAAGAAAGGACATGGGCTGTGTTGGGAAGCAGGGCAGCCGTCCCCAGTGCCCCGAGATGCGGTTGTTCCTTCCTTGCCACCACGATGTCTGCACCTGGGCTACCTTGGCTGTGGTTCGTCTGCGTGAAGCCCTCTCAGTCATTCTTGTGTCCTCAGCTCCCACTTGGGGAGTGTGACTGTGGGGGACACTCTATACGGAGAGTCTGACCCCCATAACAGCTTCAGGCGAGGAAACTGATGCTTGGAGAGGGCCAGACCACCTGCTAGGAAGTGACTGAGGGGAGTTCAGGCTCATGGCTTTCCGGGCACGTGCCCTTCCTGGTCTCCACGCTGCCTTCTGAGACGCAGCATTCCTCTGGGACAGGCACCGCGGGACGCCAGGCCTGAGAGCCCCGGAAGCGGCCCGGGTCGTGCAATCCATCATTCTACAGGTGCAGGGGCTGAGGCTGTGGAGGGATCCGGCCTGCTCGAGTTCACGCAGCTGCTGACTTCAACCCTGTGAGTCTTCCCCCGCCGAGGGGCTGCGCGTGTGTGTTAGGGGAGGAATCTTGACTGTGAAATGGTGCTACAGATCTGTAGTCTCCCTCCTCTGGGCCTTAGGTCGGAAATGGCTGTGCTGAGCTGGCCAGTGCTCCCTCACCTGGCCACACTTACAAATAGCAGCTGAGGTTTACCAGATGGCTGGCGTCGTGGGGTATTTGGGGGCATAAAGCTAATGAATGGCATTTAAGGAACCTGAACCTTGACCATGCCCGCCAAATGATATTTCTTTTTTTTTCCAAAAATTTTTAATGTTTATTTATTAAAAATTTTTAAATGTTTTTATCTATGTTTGAGAGAGAAAGAGAGAGACAGAGACAGAGAGACAGAGTGTGAACAGGAGACGGGCAGAGAGAGAGGGAAACATAGAATCTGAAACACGCTCCAGGCTCTGAGCTGTCAGCACACAGCCTGACGTGGGGCTCAAACCCACGAACCATGAGATCATGACCTGAACTTAGGGTTAGTCAGACGCTTAACCAACTGAGCCACCCAGGCACCCCTTAACGTTTATTTATTTTTGAGAGAAAGAGATGGAGTACGAATGGGGGGGAGCAGAGAGAGAGAGGGGGAGACACAGAATCTGAAGCAGGCTCCAGGCTCTGAGCTGTCAGCACAGAGCCCAACGTGGGGCTCGAACTCACGGACTGTGAGATCATGACCGGAGCCAAAGTTGGATGCTTAACCGACTGAGCCACCCAGGCGCCCCAAAATATTTCTAATGGGAGAAATAAAACTCAAAATCCTTCTTGAGGAGACGTGGACACTTCCTGGGCCACTCTTCCTTTGGCCTCCTTTACACCTTCTGCCTCCTCCTTCGACCTGTAGCCGGGGCACAGGAGAGGGTATGGGCTTACCAAGAATGATGCCATTGGGGGCAGCGGGGGGCTGCCAGATCAGCCGCACGGATGTGGTCCTCACCTCTGGGAACAGGATGCCCATGGGCGGTCCAGGGACTGCAGGGCACAAAGGAGAAGCAGGTGACGGTGTAGCCGTCCAGCTCCAGTGGAACAGGTGGGCGGGGCCGCGGAGGAAGGGGACACTCAGCCCAATGAGCTTTTGTGGAGTATGTGGCTCGGAGTTCCGTGAAGGGACACAAAGATGCTACCGGTGAGGTTTCTACCCTGAAAACAGGCCTTATTTGGCAGAACTGGAAGGGACCAGGCTCCAGCTTCCTTTTTAGCTGTGTCCGGGTACATGTGCACATATACGGACACACAGGATTGCCCTCAAGACAGGGTCAGGGGGCCTGGTCCTGGGTCTGTGCTTCAGAAGATGCCACTCTGGCTTCCGTCCACCCACGGGGAGGCGGCCGTGGGGCCCACCCTGAGCCTGAGCCTGAGCCCTCCTTTTCCAGGGTCCACACAGGCCTGTTCCCCAGGTCCGCCCTCCAGACTTGCACCTCTGGACTGAGACGTGGCCAGGGGGCAGCTGTGCGGGGCTCGTGAATGGAGACTGAATGCCACGCGGCAGGGGAGAGAACGGGAAGGGGGCAGGGCAGGGGGAGGATGGTCGCGGACAGGCAACTCTTCTCGCGCTGCCTCATTCCCACAGAGAATTCCAGAAAGTCTCAGATTTCTAAACTTGAACTTGGCCTTCCAGGTCAAGCCAGGAGGATAGGACACACTGAATTTAACAGACCATTAGGTTGATTTATAACTTTGGACTGTGTGGACATATGGTGTTGGGGCTTCCTTTTGGACTCTTGTCTGGACCCCAGCAATATTTGCGGTGGGCGGTGAGAGTCTGTGTGGGGGAGAGGGGAGGGAGTGAAGGACCCGTAGGTCAGCCTTTGACGGAAAGTTCTACTGCAGGGACCAATGCCTGGAGCCGCGGTGGCATCGGTCTTTTGCAAACAGGACCAGGAGGCTTGTGCCCAGGAAATCAAGCCTATCCCTTGCACAGATCTGTACTCAAAGTGAACCCGCCCCAGGTCAAACACTAATCAAAACGGGGGCAAAGTCTCTATTCTGCTCAAGAGACTGAATCAGATCCAAACTGTCCTCGCATCACTTCTTCCTCAGGGATGCACAGTCTGGAATTAGCACCCCCTCGCGGTGAGGTTGGTGGCCCTCAGTGACCCGCCTCCCACAGGAGAAGCCATGGTTCCTTTTGGGGCCACGTGTGACTCCCCGAGGGGTGGGGCTGGGCAGGCAGGAGGAAGGGGAGCCCCCAGCCTCTCCGGGCTTGCAGGGATTGAGACTCACCGTCATCCAGCGTCCGCTCCAGGATGGGAGGGTGGCTGGGGCTGCCGTCCCCGATGCGTGTGAAGGCCAGCACCTGGACCTCGTACAGCACGTATTTGCCCAGCCCTGTGAGCTGGGCGCTGCGCGACGAGTTCCCTTCCACCAGCCAGAAGCGGGGCTGGGAGTCCGAGTCCTTCTCCTTATACATCACCTGCCAGAGCACAGGGCAGGGGCTGAGGGCCTTGCGCCTGGGTCCTGCCCACCAGCACCTTCCCCAGGCCTCATCCCCAGGAGCGAGGCAGGTGGGCGTAGGGCTGGGGGCCTTGGGTTCCTTGGAATGGCTCGGCCCAGGAGGGTCACGGGATACGGTGAAGCCTGGGCTCTGGGAGAGCGGAGGACACAGAGATGCACTCGGCCACGGAGGTGGAAGAGTCTTTAGAGAACATTCAGGTTGGAAAACAGGCCCAGAGAGGGGCGTGACTGGGCTCCGGGCCACATAGCCAGCAGTGGCAGAGTGGGAACGTCAAGCCACGTCTCCCAACTTGTGGGCCAGGGCTGAACTGAAGTCTGCAGCTTTGGGAGCAGTTATAGAAGATAATGGGAACTGGGCCCAAGGGGCTGAGTGTGCCTGGGGCAGCCAGCGTGGCCCCTCGGGGACTCTGGGGGAGGGAGGGAGGGAGCTTCCCCAAGGACCTGGGCCTCCCTGGAAGCCTCCCAGTCCTGAGGGAGGAGTCCTTGGTTGCCATGCTGACCGGAGCACAGCCTCCGTGATCCCCCGTGTATCCACTGCAGAAGGCGGAGACCTGGGCCCCAGGGGTCATGAGGACAGGGCACCCTGGACGGGGCGTCCTGGGATCCAGGACTCACCTTGTAACCTAGCACGAGCCCATTGCGGTCGGCCTCGGGGATCTCATTCCAGCGCACCAGCATGCTGCTGGAGGTGGTGGCCAGTGCAGACACATTGGTGGGACCAGAGGATGGGACTGAGGGAGAGAAAGGGACCAGACAGGAGCTCATGACACAGTCGGCCCTACACGGGAAGGAAGTGTGGCAGGCAGCGCCCGAGTAGCCAATTATCCTGCAGTGATCCCTGTTGGTTCTGGAACATCACGGATGTTGCTTCTGGTTTCCCATTAGTCTCCCCAACGTTAGCTCAGGCCAGCGTGAGGATGAGACCCCACTTCCAGCCTGTGTAGCAGTGAAGCGTGAGGAGGGACCGGATGGGGAGGGATGTCCTTTAAAAGGTGTCAAAAATCGCCCCCCCGCCCCCCGCCCCAAGGGGCGAACCACATGTGGATGAATGAGGGCTGCCTGAAGGCTGGGGGTTCATAATCTGTGGGTGACCCCTTGTCTGTTTCTGGAATGTTCTGTGAGCTAATCCGACCTCCCCATCTCAGGTTCTTGCAGGCACTACCGGGTGTCAGGGTTAAAGATGAGTGCGGAGAGATGGGCACTTTGCAGGTGCAGACTGCCTGGCTCACCCACAGAGGTGGGGATTCCCCTGATTTTGGGGGCAGTGAGAAGATGCTGGGGGACACGGCAACAACAGAGGGTGTTCTGCCAGGACACAGAGCACAGACAGGAAAGTGAGCCTGGGCCTATTCTGAACAACAGCTCAGCCTTTGTGCCCTTGGAAGGCCCGGAGGGCAGAGAGACAAAGGTGGGGGTATCTCTGCTGCAGGCTGCTGGGAACAGGGGTGTGGCTGGTACCTGACTCCCGGGTCCTGCCCATCACCGTCTGGCTCCAGGGCCCGCTCCCGATGGCGTTGAAGGCCTGGACCTGCACGCGGTACTCTGTCCACTCCTCCAGGTCTTCGATGGTGTACTCGCGCTCCACGCGGTCCTGGACCACGTGGCTCAGCGTCTTGCCGTGGCCGTCTGCCCGGCTGTACTTGATCTTGTAGCCTACCGACTCGGGGTTCCCGTTGTATTCCATCTCTGGGAGAGGCTGCGGGAAGGCAGGGCGGCAGAGCTGCTGAGGCCGGGTCCACCCGGGGTGGCACTCTCTGGCTTGTTTACCCTCTTTTGGGGAGCCCTGCGGGATTATCGTGCCCACCGTCCAACCTGTCGGTGCCCATGGGAGGCGCTCTCGCTGGGTGCGGCTTGGATTGTGTGAGTCTGTGTTTCTGGCGGCTCCCCCCATCTCCCCGTCTCTCTGCTCCAAGCTCTAAGGATGCACCAGCAGCCATTCTTGCGCGCATGGGAAACTTGCTACCTCGCCAAGGGAGTCGGATGGAGAGCAGACCCACACAGGCTGCCTGTCCAACACGCTGATGAGCACAGCACCTCTGGCCTTGGCTGTCTTTATCACTTAACTCCCTCGCTTAGGCTGCCAACATGCACTTCTTTAATTGCCTATAACATGCCTGGTCTCAGCTCATGCCCGCCCTTGGAGAAGCCAGCGTGGGGGGACAGCATCTCGAGCGTGGATGGGACACCAGTTTCTGTCAAGTCCTTCCATCGGCAAACTTCAGTTTCTCCTGCTGCATTTTCAGCCTCCTCCTTCTGGTTTCAGTTTCAGCCAAGAGAAAAGACGGATTCCTTTCCTAGGCTGTGGGGCTGTGGCTGCTGGCTCAAGGTCATTTGGAGGAACTTGGGCGGTGTTGAGAAGCTGGGGAGGTGTGTGCAGGTTGGAGGGGGTGCACTGTGGTCTGCGGACTCGGCCTTCAGATTCTCTCTGGAGGTGGCAGAGCTGGGGCCCGGGTGCCCTCAGGCCCTCACCTCCCTGCCATTCTGCTTCCCCAGGGGCTCCGAAGAGCCCACGGTCCACAGGCTGCCCACATTCTGACCCACTGCCTCCCGTTCCTCGGCGTCTGCCTCACTCCCTACATTCTCACTGCCTCTTGCCAGGCCCTGCCCCTACAGACACTTAGGGAAGCCGACCAGAGACCATTAAGACAGCAATCGATGGGCCTAGAGCTCACGCTTCCTTACCTGCCAGGGAAAGGTAACGGGCCGTGCACCATTAAGAGAGTCTGGAGGTGCCTGGGGCCCCGCACGGTACAGCAATTGCCTTTTCATTCCTCCTCCAGACCCCCTGGGCATCAGACTCTATAGTCTTTTAGTGTTTGGAAACCTTAAGAAGAGCTGCAGGAGGGAGGCAGGGAGCCAGGCCGGAGGGGGGCCCAGGAAGGGAGGGGGTGGGCAAACAGTAATAGGGGCTGCACGTGCTTGGGGGGGGCCTGCCCGTGGCACGCGGGGCCACTGAACTGGATGGAAAGATCGCTCTGTTCGGCGCCGGCTCCCTGGGAGGGGAATCATAATTAATAACTAATGTTGGTCCAGGACTGATGGTGCCATGAGTTCCTTTTATCCGGCGTCCACCTAAGCGAAAGGGAGTAACGGCTTTCTAGTAAATCCCACAGCATGGGGGTTTGCAAAGCTGTGCTTTGCGCAAGTGGTAAGAGATCTCACGTGGAAATAAGACAGAGTTATGTGGCCAGGCTGGCTGGTGATGTGGGGTCAGGCAGGTTCTTCCCAGTGCTCCCTAAGGAGAGGAGCCGGGCCGTGTGGGTGCTGTTCCCCACGTTTGCTGGTCTCAGAATTCTTGTATGGTCCTAGAACCTCCTGGTTTGCTGCTCTGTGGGGGCAGCGGTCGGAAAAATGCTGTCCTGGAGGAAAGGCATCGGGGAGAAATGTCCTCTCCCGATCTCCGGAAGATGGGACGGCCGTGTGTTCAGTGGTGAGGGCTGTGGATTCTGGGGGCCAGGCTCCCCGGGTTGGGAATCTGAGCCCTGCTCTTAACTACAGGATGTGGGAGGACGTGTGTGTGGGAGGGTACTTGGGTCAGTTATTTGACTTCTCTCTGCCTCAGTTTCCTCATCTGTAAAGTAGGGGCCAGGATCACTCTGCTGTCACAAGCCCGTGGAGAGGGCTCTGGGTTTGACTTTGAGTAAAGCACTCAGAACAGTGCCCGGCAGGAGAGAAAGCCCTCAGCATGTTCGGATTATTACCTTGAGTAGGGTCACCTGGGGTAATGACCCTTCACAGGTAACCCTGACCTGTGGGGATGGTCTCCCTCACCTGCCCCTCGACCTCAGAAGCAACCCTTCACTCTCGAACTCAGTGCAGACGGGACAACTTACATTTGATCCTCAGACCCACCACTTGGGAGCTGTGTGGCCCCGGTGAGTTCCTAACCTCTCTGAGCCTCGGTTTTCTTAGCTGTGAATGTCAATGGTAATGTGTCTTTCACAGGATTACTGGGAGGATTAAACGGAAGGAAACAGGTAAAATGCTTGTCACCTGGTGACGCAGTGTTTTCTAGCTCCTTCTCACATAGGGGATTTGTTCATTTGGCTAAGACTGATGATTGGGCACCTTACCAGATACTAGGTGCAAAGAAAAGAGAAGGGGGCTCTGGGTATTCTGGTGGACACCCCCCGCCCCACCTTTGATGTGACCTAGGGGCAATGACTTTTGCAGGATGACAAGGACCAAGGAGTCATCTCATCCCCACTGCACTTGGGGGAGCCTCACCATCCAGCGGAGCCACAGGCTGGTCTCACTGGCCGTGCGCAGGGTCACGTTGGCAGGCGCCATGTCAGGGGGTGCCTGGAGGGTCTGGATCTTTCTAGAAGGCTGGCTGGGTGGGCTAGTGCCCACGATGTTCACCTGGCGCATTCGGAAGCTGCGGTGGGGGGGTGGGGAGTGAGCCAGATGATGAGAGCAGGACCTCAGGGCCAAAGCCCGTCCCGGTCTGGGCAGTTTCCGCCCCTGCTCCCCTCCCCCAATGCCGCGTCCTGCCCTGGTACCTGTAGTAGGTGAAGGGGTTGAGCTCGGGCACCTCCATGGACCGGGCGTCAGGCTCGTTGGTGAGCTGGTGAACCAGCAGCCACTCTTCTCCCTCCCCAACCACGCCTACCTGGAAAAGGAAGACACTCTTAGACCTGCCCAGCCTGTGGGGCTGGGATGTTCGGTGCCCCGCTTTCTAAGAGGTCAAGCCCTGCCTGCAGAAGGTCTGGAGGGGCGCCAAGCGGGGTCACCATCTTTCCAGGCCCTTAAACATGACTTCAGGTGTGACCCCCCCCCCAAGCCGTCTTGCATCAGAATAAGGTGAAATGCTTACTAGAAACCCCCCACGCCAACAGCCTGGCCCTGGACCCAGCCCATCAGAATCCCTTGGGCTGTTACCCAGGAATCTGTGTGTTTAACGAGCTCA